GCCCTATCGAGTCCCCCCACCCTTGCCGGCACCCGGTGCCCCCAGGCTGGCAGCCACGTCTGACGCAAAGGGGGTTCTCCCCCCACTTTGCCACACCATCCCGGCCATTCGGGGCCCACAGCCAGGGGGGTCCCAGGGCTCTCACCCAGCACACTGCCCTCCCTTCCAAGCTTGGGGGGACCCCAGAGAGCACCCCTGGGGTGGGTGTACCCCAGTGCTGGGGGGCCTGGAGTGGCTCCCCCCAAACAGCCTCGCTTCTCTCCCCGGTCCCCCACCGGTGACGCAGAGCCGCCGAGCGGTGGTTTCCCAACAGGGAAGTCATTTTGTGTGTGCCGGCACGGGCCGCGCCATAAACCACCCTCCCTGGGGCCACCACGGGGCCAGGCCCCCTCCAACCAGGTGGGCTGAGACTGGATACAACTCATTGCAGGGGTGGGCAACCAGTGAGGGGGACGCGTGAGACCCCTACGGGGCAGGGGAACTGGGGCAGCAGCGGCCTGCGGGACCCGCTGCCAACAACTGCCTGGAACCGGGAGGTCGGCTGGATCCAGCCCCAGCCGTCACCCTTCGCTGGGCGTGAGGACGTGAGGCCCGGTGGGTGCTGGGGGGTGGTTTTGGGGGGAGGAAGGAGGGGTCCAAGCGGGGGGGTCGTGGCAGCTTGAACCCCTCTGGGTTTACATGGGGATTCACTGGTAGCTTGTACGAGGCTGAGCCCACTCCTGGGGCTCCCCATGGAGGCTCTTCCAGCACTCCGGGGACCAGTTGCAATGTCGAATTTGGGGGCTACCCCCGCCAAGGCGTTTCCGCCACGCTGCTGGATCGGCAGTGAGCCGGGGTGTTATGGCGGAGGCTGACTCCGGCAGCCTCATTTCCTAAGGAAATCAGGCTAAAAAAAAAAAGGCCGCCCCCCCCCCCCCACTCCACTCTGTCCGTCTGTCTGTCCGCAGCCCAGGGGAGAGGCCAAGTTTGGCCGGGGGGGGTGCCAGTGCGCGGGTCTGGCATGGGCATGGCCCCAGTTTACGCCACCCTGGACGTGTCACAACCTGCCTGTTCTCAGCAGCTGCGCTCGCCGGGCTGGTGGCTGGGAACTGGGGCCTGGCTGCCAGGGTGAGGGACAATGGGGGGCTCTGGGGGGGCTGCCTCGGTTGTGCCTCAAGTCTCCCTGCTGGGACCCAGGCCCAGGCTGGCACTGGGTGGGGGGACTGGGCACGGCTGGGCGCCCACTCTCCCTCAGTGCACTTACGCCAAGGGGATGGGCTGTGGGTGCTGTCCAGCCACAGGGTTGTTCCTGGGGGCAGCTGGGTCACCCTGGGGCCAGATCCTGCCTGCTGGCCCTGGCAAGGGGACAGCACCAAAGTGATGCAATCCCGTGGGGTCGGAGCATCCCTGGGCACCCAAGGAGGGTTTAGCACCCCATTTTGGGGTGCTGCTGGCCCCAGCACCCAGCAGCCGTGGCCACGGGCCCTGCTCCTCCCTGCCGCAGGCAGGAAGCGCCAGCCGGCTGCTGCAGACTTTGGACCCATCCGGCGTCGCCGGCGCAGGGGCAGAGGAAGGGAGTCTTCCTGTTTGCCGGCGCGGTGGGGTCCGGCACCCGTCTGCCGTGGAGGCTGAGCTCCAGCAAAACTTGGCCTTGCCTTGGCGCCACCACTAGCTGTCCCCCACCCCAGCGTGGGGACTCTCCGGCGACTGATATAGGGTTGTGCTCAGGCTGCGGCCCTTCGTGGGTGGGTGAGTGAGTTTTGTGTGCGCTGCTGGGTGCTTTTGCAGCGAAGGAGTTGTCTCTCCTTGGGGTGGGGAGGGTGAACCCCCCTGTTTCCACACCCCCCTTGGCTATCCCAGCCAGGGCCATGGGGTTTTGGGGTAGAATCCCGCCAGCCAGGCAGAACCCCTGTTTATTTCTCCCCCATCTGCTTTTCAAGCTGGAGCGGAAGAGCTCAGCCTCTGGCCCCTTTTCGGAAAGGCTGGGATATTTATAGCCGCCTGGCTCAGGGAGCTGGGATTTGCTATGGCCGCCTGCGTGCCCCCCCCATCCTGCCGCAGCATCCCTCAGCTGCGTCCTGCACGGGGGCAGGGGCCAGGGACAGATGGGGTCTCTGTGCGATGCCAGGGCCCACCCAGGGGTTTCTGTGCAATGCCTGCGGTCCCTCAGGGTCTCACTGTGATGCCTGGGGTCCCTCAGGGTCTCTGTGTGATGCCTGCGGTCCCTTGGGGGTGTCTTTGTGATGCCAGGGGTCACCCAGGGGTCTCTGGCTCCGTTTGGTCGATGGGACATGGATTTGGGGTCGATTTGGGGAGTCAGGACTGCAGGCATCACCCCTCCCTTCACACCCACAGCCGGCTGCTCCTCTCCACGCTGTGCCTCCCCGACCAGGTCCCCCCACCCATCCCTATGGAGTGACCCTGCGTGGGGGTCTTTGCACCGGCGCGGCTCCCCCCGGCAGCTGGCCCGGCACGGAGGGAAGCTGGCTGCCGCGAATATGAGCGACTTCTGGCACAAGTTGGGCTGCTGCGTCGTAGAGAAGCCACAGCCCGTGAGTAGCTTCAGCCTGGCCGTTTTGGGGAGGATTTGGGGTACTGGAGTCGTGGGCTCACCAGGGGCTGATGACCTTCATCTGCTTGCAGAAGAAGAGGAGGAGACGGATTGACCGCTCCATGATCGGCGAGCCCATGAACTTCATCCACCTGACACACATCGGCTCTGGCGACATGGCCGCAGGCGAAGGCCTGCCCATGGTACCCTACCCACGTGAACAGTTGGGGTGGTGGGTCACGGTTGGGTGGCGGGTGTCACTGTTGGGGTGCTGGGTCTCACAGTTGGGTGATAGGTGTTGCTTTTGGGGTGGTGGGTCTCAGGGTTGGGTGATGGGTGTCAGGGTGGGGTGAAGCGCCCTTATGTTTGGGGGACAGGTCTTACACTTGGGTGATGAGTCTCACAATGGTGATGACACATCTCTGCACCCTTCCCGCAGACCGGTGCCGTCCAGGAGATGAGGTCCAAGGGCGGACGGGAGCGACAGTGGAGCAACTCCCGGGTCTTGTAGTGTGTGAGTACACGGCCTTGTGAGCGGCTGTGGCAGCCCTGAGCACCCGCTGTCCTCCTCTGAGGCACCACCACTAATTAACACACCCAAACGAGCCACCACTTGTGTGGTTCCGTAACCCAGCCTCTTGGACTTTGCAGATTCCTGGCTTTTTCAGCCCAAACTTGAACTGCCTGATCCCCCAACTGGAGGAGAAGCCGACCTCGAGTGCTTGAACCCCGCGGTAATTTATGCAGAGTGATCCCCACCTGGCTCCCAGTGGCTTTTGGTCGTCATCCCCCTGGCAAATCCCTCCTTCCCAGAGGCATCGGGTTGGTGACGTGGGGAGGGAGCGGGGATGGCAGCCCCCACCTCATGCCCGACTGGCATTTCAGCCGAAAGGACGCAGCCACCCTCCCGAAGCGTGCCAGGAGCTGCCGGGCGCAGCCCAGATGTGCCAAATCCTCCCGGTTTTCCCTTTTTCCATGCCGGTGTCTCGCATGGGCCCCTCTTGGCACCAGGCCACAGTGCCTCGGTTTCCCCGTGGGATCGTGGTGAGGCCGGTCCTGGTGCGGAGGCTGATTTGGTGCCCTCCCAGACACGTGTAGAAGAGCAAAACCAGGATTAAACCCCGGTGCTTCAGTGTCTCAGCGGCAGCAGCTCAGCGCCAACACCACCAATGAGCCCGCGGTGTCTCCAGCCGGCATTTCCACCACCGGCAAACTGCCACCTTCCTTCTTTTTTAGTTTTTTTTTTTGTTTTTTTTTTTTTTTTTCCAGAGCTCAAAAAAAACAACTACACAGCCTCTGCCACCTCAGAGGCAGGACCACAGTGGGGTTACCTCTGCCCGGGATTGCCACTGGGGTTTCACCGGCACTGGCCGAGGCAGGACGGGGCCTGACCCGAGGAGGGACTCGGGCTCCCGAATTCGGGCGCGGGTGTATATAGTTTAAATAGCGCCGGGATTAAATATTAAATAGCACATGCCGGGCATCGCAACCAGGTGGCAGAGGCTTTCCCCTTCACCATGCTCCACGCCATGTGGGATGCTCCTGCACGGAGCTGGGCTCTTCCAGCCCCACAGCACGCTCGGCATTGGTAAGCAAGTGCCGATGCTTGATTAGGTTTTCCCTCCTCTGGGAAAAACAACCCTTGAAATAAAACCCTTGTGCTGGCCCAAGGAGCGTGTCCGCAAGCTGCCCGGGGCTCCTCGCCTCCCTCCTTTGCTACTAGGGCTGTCAAATTTGCCTGGAAAAGCCGAGACACCCCACACATGCTTGGCACTGTGCTCCCATCCACGTCCTTTATTCACCTGTGGGTGCTCAGGGACTGCTTTGGGCATGCTGAGACCCCCTGATGCCACTGCTTGTCCCTGTGTGTCCCTGTCACCGTATCACATCCCGGCTGCCATCCCAGCTTGGTTCCAGCCTATGGGGAGAGAAAAGCATCTGTGGCCGGCACCGCATGAACCCCCCCAGCCCCCAGCCCTGCAGAGGGGACTCACCGCCGGACGGGCTCGGGGACATGCGTGGGCTCCAAGGGGATGAGCTGGGAGAGCTCCCGAAGGCTGGCAGCGAACCGGACCTTGCCGCTGAAGGTGGGGCTGGGCGAGATGGGGGGACCGAGGCCCCCACAGCTCATTACACCCTTGTGTGATGGGGCCAGTTCACCAGGAGCTGGCATGGGAAGCCCCAGGGAGGAGGCGAACGTCCCTGTGTGAGGCCTTGCACGTGCGGGTGCGAGCAACCCTACCTGAGAAAGGGCCGGGAGAGCGTCACAAGCACCTTGATGTACCAGGTGGGGTGGACAATGATCACAGCCTGGAGGTTCTTCCGGAGCCTGGGAAGGACCGGGATGCTCCAGGGCTCACTGTGATCCTGGCACGCTCACTGCCACCCCTGCCCGGCATGCTCACTGGGAGCCCTTGCATGCTCACCGCCGATCCATAGCCTGGTAGCACCGTTTCATCCAGCCGAAGGAGGGGATCTGTCCCCGTGCTGCCGCCCCAGTCAGGCACACCAGGACGTAGCGGTCGGCCACCATCCTCTCCAGGGTGCCCACAATGTACCTGGAGGGACAGCCCGGCCTGTCAGCTTGGGGAAACTGAGGCATGGGGCATGTGGAAAGATCCCAGCCCGCCCAGGACCCCACCTGAGCAGGTTCTCCATCACGTAGCCGTACTGGGGGATGCTGTTGTCTGGGAGGTGGCAGGCAGCGAAAAGCAGGATGGCACCGAAGCCCTCACCATGGTACCCTGGCCAGAGTGGAGGGTGGCACAGCCAGCACCTATCGTCCCCTTCCGAAAACCCAGCTGGCTCAGGGAGGAGACCCAGGAGTCCCACCCCAGGCACCCAGCCCCGCGTTACCCCCATGGGTGAGGACCCCGCTGTAGGGCTCCACTGCGCTCAGATCCACACTCTCCTCTGGCTGCTTGTCCTCCATGTCTGGCACCCGCTGGCTGCCAGCCCCCTTGGCAAAGCTCCAGGTGTGCATCAGCTCCTCTGCGGGCAGCCGGTTAGCGTAGCACCAAGGGGGAGGAACCCGGGGGGTCCCCCGCGCCCCCACCCCAGCCGGGTCTCACCCTCCCACTCGAAGCTGTCGCTGCCCGAGGGCGTCTCCAGCGCATCCAGGTCGATGTCGATGCTGGCGTCCGGTGAGCGCTCAGTGCTCTCGGTCCACTCCAGCGCCGGCAGCCGCCTCCGCATGCGCTGCGGGGCACCGCCGGCCCCCGGGCACCCCTCCGGCAGGGGCCTGGCAGGGACAGAGCAGGGGGGTCAGTGGTACCTGGCGGGGGGTGGGGAGCGGGTTTGGGGGTGCCACTCCCATCACCCCCTTACCCAGGGAAGTCCTCGTCCTGCCACTCCTCACTCAGGTCCAGGCTGTCCCCAGTGGCCATCACCACGGCCATCCTTGTCCCTGTCACCTGCAAAGACACGCCAGCCCGGGCTCAGGGACCAGCTCCCCTGGGGCTCTCGCATCTCCCAGCAGCTCCACACCAAACTGCCCCCATTTCCCCTTTCTCCCCCCATTTCCAAACTGAAAGCTAATGCAAACGGGTGCACCCCAGCCACAGGGAGACAGCACGGATGCTCCCCGGGGACCCCCCATCGCAGTTCTGTTCAACCCTCTATGAGACTTCAGAGACTCCCGGCACTGCACCAGGGCTGCTTACCTCTCCGGGGAGCCTCTCACTCTGTGGCTGCCCACCAGTGAAGGGCTCCGGTGATGGCACTGGTGGCTCATCCAAACTGGTTTGGCTGCATTCACAGCTGGCAGAGGCCAGGGCTCATTGTGGCACAACCGGTTTCCTCCCGGCTGGGCTGGATTTGGAAGTTCGGTCACACTGAGCCCCCCCCACCCCGTTCATGCTACGGAGCCCCAAAATGCTCCTCTGACCCGGGGGGGTATTGGCAGGGGGGTTTGCACCCCTGGAAAAGAGGGGGTTCGACCCCCAGGATGCCTGCGGGGAGGGCGAGGGCCATGCTCGGCACCCCAAGGGTGAGCGGGGCATCGCAGGACCCATCCCGGAAGAAGAGTCGAGAGCCAAAAGTGGAAGAAAAGAGGGAAATTTAATCCTTGGAGCACATGGGTGACAGTCCTGGGCTGGCTGCGCATCCAGACCCACCATCCGGGGCCCCCCGCAGCCCCCTCCAAGGGAGGAAGAACAGCAAGAACTTGTTAACACCCCCAGGGCCTTCGTTAAGAGTGCTGCTCCAGCCCCGCTACCCGAGGGGTCCCAAAAAACACACCCTGGGGGACCAAACCTCAGTGGCGCCGTTGTGGTGGGGGGAGCCCATCGGAGGGGGGGGCAAATTGCAACGAGGACCCATCTCCAGCAGGGAGCCAAGCTCTAATGAAGGCAGCCGCCACCCCGCCATGCCTGGGCACCCTGCCGGGACCTGCCCAGGGACCCTACCTCCTCGTACAGCCCCCAAAAGCCGCTGGGCGCCTGTTCTCATTTCGGGGAGCTGGGGGGCTGCCCAGCAGCAATGCGGCTGACCCGCTCCAGGACATCCTGGGGGCAGAGGGGGGGCACGGCCTGTGCCAGTGGACATTCCTCCACCAGGCTGTTCATGGGGGTGGGCGGCAGGACCACCTCCTCCTCTGGCCCCCCGGCAGCTCCCGGCCCCCCCAGAGCTGCCCGCAGGATGGGCAGGACCTTCTTCCGCGATGCCAAAGTGTTGCCCTGGGCATAGGCACCCACACAGGACCAGGGGCTCGGGAGGGGCTGGAGGTGCAGGGACGGCGTCGTCGCCTCTTCCAGCGCCCGGCACACCTGTGAGGGAGGGAGTGTGGCTGCTGGAACCCCCCAGCACCCCCAAAATCGGGGGCTTTTGGGGCAAACCACAGCTGAAAACTGCCTGGCTCCTACCCCAGACCCCTGTGCTGTGGGGTGCCCAGTCCCCCCACTCACCATGCTGCGGAGGGTCTCACACCGGCTGTAGACCGCGAGCTGCCGGGAGGGCTCATTGCGCTCATTAAAAGAGATCGTCATGGCCACCAACCCTGTGTAGCCCCGAGCTTGGCAGAAAGCATCTAGGTCCTGCAGAAAGTCGGGCCGGCACAGGAAGGTCTGGATGGGGAGAGATGCTGGCATCACCCCAGTGTCCCCATTGTGCCACCCCCTGCCTCAGTTTCCCCCTCTGCTGAGCCTCACCTCCAAGTCCACGTAGATGGCGCTGACGGCGAGGACCAGCTCATCACTGGAGAGGACTTTGAGGTCCTTCCGTAGCATCTGCTCTGTCGTCAGCCCTGGGAGAGGAGAGGGGCCAAGTGTGAGCCCCAGGGACGCATCCTTGTCCCCAAGGAGAGGGGTCTGTCCCAGGACCCGCTCCCAGCCAGACCCTGGCGCGCAGACCTGAGACATCAAATTTGGCTGCTTGCAGGGCTTCAAAGATGGCATTGCGGGCCAGCAGCTCGGGGAACCTTGTCTCGAGCAGGGAGATGCATGCCACGTCCCTGGGCGTCACCTTGCCAGCAGCCGGGCTCAGGTTCACGCAGTCCAGCAAGATGGTGCCTGGGGGGAACAACCAGGGGCCATCAGTTGTCACCATCCCTGTCGGATGGGGCTCAGCAAGGGCCACCCGTCCTCACCATGCAGCAGCGCGGCCGTGGTTCTGTCCAGCACGCCTGGGGGACCTTGGGCGATCCGCTCCGTCACCAGTGTAGCACAGGAGCCCACCAGCTCTGCTGTCACCTGGCAGCCGGGAGCTCGGTCCCGTTCCAACGGCCGGTGATCAAGGACCTCCACCACAGCCTCTTCCAGGGCTGTGTCGGCGCTGGCGGGCGAGACGGGGAGGGTGAGACCCCCCGCACAGCCCTGGGGTGCAGCCGCAATGCATCACCCCCAGCAGAGCCTGGAAACCCCCTTTGTTCCTCTCCTCCTACCCTAAAAACACCCCGGAAAGGGAAAGGTTTTATCCACCCTGGGCCAAAATCAAGTGAGGAAAAAGCGAGACTTCTGGTAGGTGGCCCTGGTTGTCCCCATGTCCCCCCACCCCTGGCTCACCCGGGCAGGATGTGGTGATCGACCAGGGTCAGGGAGAGCAGCCCAGCGTGGTGTAGCCCCCCCAGGTCAATCTCATCCCGAAAGATGAGGGAGGTGGCAGGGATGCCCTGCTCCTGCAGCAGGAATGTTGTCTCCGTCCGGAGGGCAAAGTCGGCACGAGGGATGTTCAGGACCGGGATGAAGGCAGCTTTGGGAGCCGGGGAGGTCTGCGGCAGGGGGTGACAACTGGTGAGGCAGCCCCCAAGCCACCGTTTGTCCCCAAGCCAGCGGGCAAGCCTCACCTTCGCCAGGTAATAAGCCAGAGCCAGGGCCGAGACGGTGGAGTCCAGGTCACAGGCCTCGTTGCCCATCACCACGTGGATCTCCTGGTGACGCTGGACGTGCTCCTGCCAGGGCAGGAGGCATCAGGCACGGCAGTGGCAGTGATGCGTCCCCATCCTCCAAAGACCCCCAGGCCAGTCCCTTCCCCTTTGCTGCCCTCAAGGGGACAGGCCAATGTCCCCGGAGCCACTTGTTATGGATGTCACCCACAGATGCCACCCGCTGGCACTCATCTCCCAGCCGCCACTGGCAGTAAACTGCCTCCTGGCATCCCCGAGGTACCAACTGGCCCAGCGCTCTTGGGACGAGACCTGGCCGGGATCCATTTCTGGCACAAAAGCCTTACATTTTTGGGGCACATGCGCAAAACCGGACGTATCAGGGCCCTGGGAAAACTTGGCCACAAGCGACTGTGGCAGCAGGGACAAGGACCCTCCCGCCCTGGGGGACACCGTCACAGCCCTGGGACCCTTCAGTATTTTAATCCCAGTCCAAAGTGGTTTTTCCAGAGATGGTGAGTTTGGGGCTGGCTGTCCCCCAGAACATGACGTTTCACCCCTTTTTTTCTTGCCTGCAGCAGCAAGAAAAAAAATGTCACCCACGTCACCCCGCAAACTCCTGTCCCCAGCTGCTGGCACCCATCCCATCCCGCTCCAGGGAGCCGCCCTGTCTCCAGGCCCTTTTTTGGTGTCAATTATTTCATGCCATAACCCAGATTTGCTCATTTATTCAGTATAAGCCGAAGAAGTAAACAACTGAGAGCCGCCTACGGCGTAACCGCCAGTTGGGGAACCTGCACCCGTGTGCTGCAAGACAAGGGAAGAGGCTGCAGGGGTGGGGTGGGGGGCTGCTGGGGAGCCCCCAGCCGTGGAAATGGCTTGGGGTGTCCCCGGTGCCAGCTGTGCCACCCCAGCCTGGGCTGTCGTGGGGCTGAGGGGCAGCACACGACCAGGGGAGATGGGTGCACCCCACTCAGGGGCCTTGGTCCTCTGTGCACCCCACTCCCCC